GTCCCGCGCGCTCATATGACCTTAAGCAGTTGCGAGCGCCGTAAAACCCTATACTAAACAAACAAAACAAACAAACACGACCCACAAACAGACAACACAGTAAATTGCCAGGGACGGACAAGAGAAAATAATAGACCCTAGCGCCATTCCGGACAGCCCCCTAGTGGCGTCCCCTGCACAGAACGCTGACCCCCCGTTAATCAATATTTCACCAATTGCCATTTCTAGGACGGATCGCTGACGATCTGGTCAAAATGTCACCGCTGGTCCCGAAAGATTCCCCCCCACGCTAGCAAATTATGGTATGCCGGGAATCCATTCACTTGAGCTTATGTTCCCATTTTTTTATTGGCTTATTGCTATTCCGGGTGGAAAAAGAGGTCTTTTTGGTCGTTAGGGTATTGTTACTGTGCTATTTTGTCCGGATATTTTTTGGAGTATTTTTAGAGTATTGTCAGGGTATTATCAGAGTATTTGCTGGAGTATTTTTTGTTCAGAGGACAGTGTAGTTAAAGTATAGTTTTACTGTATAGCTAGTGGTGTTAGGGTGTTCTAAGAATATTTGGTCGCTTTTAAGGGCAAGCTGGCTAACCCAGATTTCATGGGTTTCCAGAAATCTTTACCAACACCAAAAGTGGGCATTGCCCTACCTATAGGAGTAGTTTGGTTTCATTGGTGTGGATATTTGTTTGGTTATAGAGAAAACTCTCCTTGTCTTTTCAAGAAACTAAACAAGGGGCAAAAACATTGCCTTCGATTTTCTCAAAACAGTATTTTTCGGGATAGCCCCCTCGTGCTTAAAAGCGACCATATTTTGGAGTATTGTCACAAATGCTTGAATAACAATGCGCCATCATATTTATCAAATCTGTTGCAGCTGACAAAAAGAAATTTCTTTCACCATCTGTGAAACTTGAAACAATAGGTGAAAGGGCATTTGAATACCAAGGCCCCAAGATCTGGAATGCTTTGTCAAGTAGTTTAAGAGAGATCAAATCCTTTGATCCATTCAAATGTCAGCTGAAGTCATTTCTGTTTTTAAATTAATGAGATGAATATTTGGAGAGATTTTCTTTTTGTCAGAACACAACGTTTTGTGTTACTGTTGTACATTGTATAGTATTGTAAAGCGCCCAGAGCCTGTGTACTTTAATCGGGGTTGAGTGCTTTGTAAATGTCACGTATTGCTTTTATTAATAATATTAGTATTGGCATGGTATTCTTAGAGTATTTGAAAGAGTGTTTATTAGAGGTTAATTTGCAAGCCTATAGTTAAACTACTGCACTTAGAATATTCTAAGAAAATTTGTTGGACTATGGTTGGAGTAATAACTGTCATGGTAGGCTTAACGTAAGTCAGAGTATTGGTTCAGAAGGTAGTAGGAAGTATAGTTAGACTATAGTCAGAAGAGTGTTGTTGGGGTATTCTAAGAGCCTTGGGTAATTAAGACTTATAGATGCGTATTTTTCAAATCAAGAGCAAGACGAACGAACAAGCTTTAAGACGATACTAAGAACTCCATACCATGGCCTAAAACTGACGAGCACCTGATTCCACCGAGTTGCGAAACATAAAAAAACAACTAAAACAGCATTTGAAGGCAACGAAAGTTCCTCAAAGAAAATAAAAACTCAATATTGCGGACAGTACACGACCCAGTGCTTTCTTGTCCTATCTCCATTTTTAACAACAGTGAAAACAGTTCATAATAAAGAGTGAGCTTAAGAAGTCACAGTTTCACTGTTTAGAAATAAATGGAGAAGTGACAAGAAAGCACTGAGGTCGCGAATTGGATGTTTATCACTGGTTACCACGGCAACCGCTCACCCAGACCTACCTGTCATTTGAATTTTTCCCAAGGTTTT